GAATATAAAGGAAAAGCAGCCTTGAAGAAAACTGAGGTCATTAACAGGAAAAGTTCTGTTAAGAAGGATAAGGTAAAAAAAGAAAGCACCGGCTTCCAGTGTGGCCACTGTGGGAAGAAAATAGCTTCTAAGGATAAATTTAAACTTCATCTTCGAATTCACACAGGTGAAAGACCTTATACCTGCCATGTCTGTGGGAAACAGTTCCGTGTACCTGCAGGATTGAATAGGCACATCAAAGATGTTCATGCAGGTGTTAAGGAATTTGCCTGTGATATCTGCAACAAGACCTTTGCATCTAAGGCAACTCGAGATGACCATCGCAGGGTTCACACAGGTGAACGTCCATATATTTGTGATTCGTGTGGCAAAACTTTCAAGACAAAGGCTTGTCTATATACTCACAATAAAAGTCACTCAGATTCCTATTCATTTTCCTGTTCCCACTGCAGTAGGGGATTTCGATCACGGCCGTCGCTTCTTGCCCACACCCTCACACATACTGGTGAGAGACCTTTCAGCTGTGAAGTTTGTGATAAAGGCTTTCGTGTAAAATATGAACTTTCGAAACATAAACTAGTTCATTCAGATGAGAAGCCCTTTGTGTGTGCAGAATGTGGACTTCGCTTCCGACAAAAGCGTTATCTGAAAAACCATGACAGGATTCATCACTGACTAAAAGTAAATGGATTCTTTTACTTAGTGAAAATTAATTGCATACAATTTCTTATTCTGCTGTTTGTATGAGCCTTTGTTGATTAGTCTTGTGATTCATTGAATCAGTTGTAATGAAATAAACACTTCATTTTTATAAAATCATGTGTTGAACGTGTAGTTCATGCCAGTCTAATAAAAATACGTAAAAATATATTCTAGATAATTTTATAAACCCAGACATTTGTATGTCTTACATTATATTCAGTTGTTGTTTAAATTGAAATATAATATATTAGGCAACAGCAGCAGGTTCTCAAAATGTTGATCATAGACGTATATGGCCAAGGCCAGATCAAATTGAGAGACCTGATGTAATGTGCTACATGAATTTTAGCATATAGAGGATTCCACGTTACTTCATATAGCAAAATTTTGTTTCGCACGAAGTGATATTAATCCATTTAATACATACCTACATGGAGCAGAGTCTAGTGAGTCTGATAGTTGCTCAG